AATGAGCGCAGAATTGCAGCTGATCCCAGCTGAACCTCAAGCGCTCTGTGCTCAGCTTGCCGCTCCCCATCAGGCTGTATTCACCACTGTCTCTGCGACTGGGGCTTCTTCCAGGAGCTGCCTCCCCTCCAACACTGCCAGGAAGCTCATCAGCTTCCTATAGATGGAAACGGGGACAGGAAAGCACCCCCCAAACCACTGCCTGTGCTAGATAAGAATTTAATGGAAGATAGAGGAGAGGGTTGAGGAGGGGGGGTGGCAAACAGGAACATGAACGTGTAGGAATGTATATGTGTGTGAAGCAGGGTGGTGTGTGCATTTGTCTATAGTATGCACGTGTGTGCACATGTGGCTGTGTGTGTACAGTATGCATGTGTGTGCATGTGTGTATAGTATGCACATGTGTGCACATGTGGATGTGTGTGTATAGCATGCATGTGTGTGCATGTGTATAGTATGCATGCGTATGCACATGTGGATGTGTGTGTATAGTATGCACGTGTGTGCACATGTGGATGTGTGTGTGTATGCACTGAGTTCTTACGTAATGACCTGGAGTCCATTTGGAAAAGACAAATCTACAGAAGCCACAATAGAAATTCCATTTTCCATTCACGAAAAGTCTCTCTTCCCTGGGCATCAAGCTCGGTTTGGATGCCACCCCCCCGCCTTCCTTCGGATGGAAGCTGAAGGGGACGCCCCTGTGTAAGCCACATCGATACTTGGAGGGACTCCGAAAGCCAGGACAGGCAGTGCTAACATTTCTGCCAAATTCCAGCTGCTGGGCCAGTTTGCAGGGTGAGCTGATGGGTGCCCAGCACAACAGTCACCGCTGAGATCACGTCTATCACTCACTCACTCACTCACTCATTCCCTCAACAAATATAGTGCCCACTGCATGCCAAGGACTGTTTACAACACTCAGGGATATGGCCAAGATCCTTGCCTTTAGGAAGCCTCCTCTTAGAGGAGAAGTAAGTAGGTGAATAATAATGAAAATACAGCCAGATCACACCAAGCACTATGGCGAACTGAAGCGGGGCAGAGGGTAAAGAATGACCTGGTTGGCGAATTACATCTGAACTGCTCGCCCAGGGCTCCAGTGGCCGGGGGCTCCTTGGGACAGGGGGTTCATCAGGGAGGAAAGGACACAGGCTGATCTCATCTTTAGAAACCCACTTTGGCAGAGACCAGCCATTCGCCAGCCATATTTCCCTCTCCTTCAGATCATGGAGTTGGACTTGTTCCCCATGTCCCTTGCAATTAGACGTGGCCATGTGACTGGGCTTTGTCCAGCGGCATGTAGGCACTATTGACGTATGCCACTTGTAAGCCTCGCCAGTCCCGAGACGCTCACCCCGGGTGGCTGAATGGCTGCGGCACAAGCCACCCTGGCCCTGCCCACCAACCTTCACAGTGAGCAAGAAATCGACTTCGGTTGGGTTCAGTTTCTGAAATGCCGCAGTGCAGGTAGTCAGCCCTAACACGTACCCACCTCACTGCCTCCTTCTGCTCACCGCCTGTTCTGCAGTGACGCTCTGGGCGTGGAGGTGACCTTGCCTGCAGGGGCTGCTGGACGAGTCAGGGGGTGTGAGGAGCAGATGACAAAGTGGTTTCAAACCACAGCAATACCACAGACCCCAGAACAAGAGAAGCCGCCACTTCCTGAGTCGGAGATGCTGGGGGCAGTTTCCTGGAAGCACAGAATTTGCAGCTTTTCTCATTCTGACACCCAAAGCCAACTTCACAATTCTTCCCTGCATATTTCTAGTTTAGAAAGGTCAGCAGCAGAGAGTCCTCAGGAGGCTGCACCTGCACGGCCTGGAGAGCTCCCGGTGCCGGCTGCTCTCTCGGCCACATTTTCCAAGTTCGTGTTAATCAGGAGGGGCAAATTTCCCTCCTGCAAACTGGAAAACCCCGTTCCCCATCAGGGCATTCAGATGTGGAGTAAGCTGGGCTCTCGTGGTGATGTCTTCAGGAGAAACATCCTCATCAACAGGACAACTGGACCCATCCTCACCCGAGCCCTCTGCTGGTCTGGGAGGATTCGCTCCTTTCATGGACCCTGTCCCAGCCCAGACTTCCTCAGCCACTGACGCTGCAGGGGGTCAGCCAGGCAGGAAGTGTAGGGGGTCTTTCTCTCCACTGTCCATCCGGAGACGGCGCGCGGGGCCACACGCAGCAGCTTGGGGACCCTCCTGGGACAGGGGCTGTGCCTACGTGGCCTCGCTCTTTTGTGTTCCCTTTAACAAGCCTGTCTGCGGAGCAGAGCTGAGGAAGAAAGTCCCGCCTTTCAGTCCTAGATCATCAGGCTGAGAAACTCCAAGAGCCAGGGCAGCAGAATATCCCAGCTGTGCTCAGATAACAGAGATAACAGCCAGACGCTGCGGGTACCCCCTCCGTGGGGTGTAAGCAGATGAGGGCCCTCACATTCACTGCTCACTCACTCCACAAATAATGTGCCTACCCTGTGCCGGTGAGGGTGGCTTGGGCAGCCCTTTCTGGAGTTTGGGAAAAGTGATTGGCAGTTGTCAAATCATGGCCCATGGGCCAACCCAGGCCCTGTTTTTGTTTTTGTAAATAAAGTTTTATTGGAACACGGCCTGTTTTTGTAAATAAAGTTTTATTGCAACACGGCCAACCTGTTAGTTGACACATTGCCTGAGGCTGATTTCACACCACAGCGACAGAAGCTGTACGGCCACAACACCTTTCCCACCTGGCCCTTCACAGAAAAGGTTTGCTGACCCCAGAGTAAGATCGAAGACTGTTTACAAGGGGCAATGTGGGGGCGGCAGAAGCACAAGGCATTACAGAAGCCTGCAGAGCACAACAGAAACCCACTCCCTCTCTCGGGGGCCTTCAATCCTGACGACCTTCAAAGAGGAATCTCTGGTTGGTCCTCACGCCTCCAGCACACCCTGAAGCCCCTGCCCCACTGGCCTGGGAAACAAATCAAGGGCAGCCTCTGTTCTCTCACCTTATGCTTTTCTCTACAGTCAGCTTCTAGCCTGACAAACGATCCCAGTGATCAAACTGTGGTTTGGTATACAATCTCCTTCGGGGATGAACAGTGTGGCGATTCCTCAAAGGCCGAGAGGCAGAACTCCCATTTGACCCACAATCCCATTGCTGAGTATACACCCAAAGGAATAGAAGTCATTCTCTTACAAAGACACATGCGTGTGTATGTTCACTGCAGCACTATTCACAACAGCAAAGACATGGACTCAACCCAAATGCCCATCAATGGTAGACCGGATAAAGCAAATGTGGCACATACACACCATGGAATGCTATATGCGCCATAGAAAGGAATGAGATCATGTCCTTTGCAGGGACATACAGATGGAGTTGGAAGCCATCATCCTCAGCAAACTAAAGTGGGAACAGAAAACCAAATAACACGTGTTCTTACTTCTAAGTGGGAGCTGAATGATGTGAACACAAGGACACAGGGAGGGGAACAACCCACACTGGGGCCTGTGGGAGGGAAGGGGCAGAAGGAGAGTACCAGGAAGAATAGCTAAAGGATGCTGGGCTTAATACCTAGGTGATGGATTGACAGGGGCAGCAAACCACCATGGCACACGTTTACCTAGGTAACCAACCTGCATATCCTATACATGTGCCCCCAAACTTAAAATAAAAGTTGAAAAAAAATTAAATCACTTTGAGAAGAATTTTAAGTCAACGCTAACACAAGCAATGGCCGGAGGCAGCAAATCCCAGCCCTGAGGATGGCGAGGTGGGTGCAGCATGGGGGCCACGGCACTGCCATTGGCATCGTCTCTGGCGTCCGTGGTGGGCGGGAGGTTGCCCAGTGGGCCCAGGAAATGTGGGCCTGGGAAGCTCCCCCAGGATGGGGTTCCAACTCCTGGTGGCTTCCTTCAAGCTCTGAACTGCATTTCACAGGAAAATCTCCAGCCCAGCCTGGCCCTCAAGGGGTATGGGTGGCCAAGGACAGTTGAACCCCGAAAGGGGAGGATGCAGCAGAGGCTGGGTGCTGAGGTGGGAGGGCCGGCTCTGTGCAGAGAGGGCAGGTGATTTGTTTGCAATCAGGTGATACCTTGGCTGGGGTATGGAGGCACACTGCATTCACTCACACCAGAGTTTCTGCTATAAATAACCAGTCATTTTGACTGCTCCCTGGCGGGGTCCCCTGGTGGCCAAGGTTAGGGATACAAAGAATTGGGGGGACCATGCCTGGTGGCTGCTTTCTTCCTCCCATCTCCGCATTCTAAACGCACAGCCCAGCCTTCTGCATTGAAAGGAACGAGAAAACACTAAACAGCACGAAGACTGAGAATGGCCCCTTAAGCACACTCTGGGGACCCACCCTCATTTCCAAAGGGTGGGTGAGGCTTTTCCACAACGGTTGGGAATTATTTAATGGAATTCTCACCATCCTTTTATCAAATTATTGCTCAGATTAGGCTGCAATTTTCTTCAAAGGGAAGCAGAAATTGCTCGTTGATAGCCGTGATTATAGAGACACAAATTTGTAAAATAAATTCTTTCTGCGGTAAAAGCAATCTCCGGTGGCCTTGGGAACTCGGGGACCAAGACCTTGCAGACGGGCCATGGCACGGCCCACGCTGGCCTCGACGCAGTGATCGTCATGGCAGACACGCCACCATCCCATCATCCGGGATCTTAGTCATCCATGGAAACAAATGTGATCAGACCAAAGAAAGGGGTCAGAGGTCAAAGGCCACGATCCACACCCCTGCCCACTGCTTCCACACACATAGTAGCCATTTGAAAGTAACCAAGAGAGAAATCACTCCTGCCTCACAAAGTCCCATCCACCTAGGACGCAGCTTCCCCGTCTAAATTTTTCATTGCCCTGTGTAAGGCTAATCTCATTACAGAAAGGTTGTGAAATCGCGACCTTCTTAGACACCAAATGCAGAACCGCCCCTGGCTTTGGGATGCCGGGAGAAGAGCCTCACGCTAACGCCGAGACCCCCGTGCCAACGGGAGGGGTCTGCACTCACCCTCACGAGCTGCTGCGGGAAGGGCCCGCGCGAGTTCTCCGGCACGTTGATGGGCGGGATGACCCAGTCCCGTTTGCGCCGCCTCAGCCCGTCGGCGTTCTGGTGCCGGGGCCACGGCAGCAGGGTGTCCTTCGGAGGCGGAGAGGGGTCCAGAGCCACGATCTTCTTTCCCTTCTGTGGCTTTATTTGGAAAAGGGAGAGAAGAAGCAAAGAAGTCCAGTTAGGTTTTGCACAGAGGAAAACGGTGTTTGCTAAGATGATCTGTACTGCCCGAGACTGAGAGGGAAGGCGGGTAACCCTGGGACAAGGAGCTAAGTGGGAAAAGGAGTTAAGCGGGAAGGCGGGTAACCCTGGGACAAGGAGCTAAGTGGGAAGGGCGGGATAACATTGGAAAAGGAACTGTTAGGGAAAAAAAATCAAGTAAGACCCCCATCAATATGATGAGACAGATTACAAAATTAAATGTGGGAAAAAGAAACCATAAAAAAAGAAGAAAATATAGTTGACAATGTCACCAATAGTGTAGACAGGGCTTTTTACGCCCACCCAAAACAATGCAAGAGATGACAAAAGAAAAGACTAATATGTTTTCCCACAAAACTCCTGTTCATGAAAACAGACCCAAGAGGCAATTGACACATTTGGAAAACATGATTTACAACAGTTTGACATGAGGTTCATAGTCACTACATAAAGCACTCTTAGAAAGCAGGAAGAAAATAAAATGGAATCTTGTTTCCGAACAAGAAAAGGACATGAATAGATAATTCACAGCAAAACAAATATAAATGATCAATAAACTTATGACAACTGTCCACATCTCCCAGTAATCAAATAATGCATATCAAAGTAATACATCCTTTTTACCTGTCAGATTGACAAGGCTGAGCGAAATGAATCTGCAACACTGGGGGTGTGCAGTGAGTCAGTGGGTGGAGGCTGATGGCTGAGGGTGTGGGATTTGGCCTTAGACCCATATCTGTGTGGATGTGTCGAAGCTCATGTGACGTGGGGACCAAGTCCCTTCATCTCTCACAATCCTGGGATCTTCTCTTACGGAAGGGAGATGGTAGCAATGGCCCTGAGTTTAGGCACTGCTATGGGAATGACATCAGATGACAATGAGAAAATGCCCAGCCCATGCTTAGCACAGGGCTCAGGCTGTCAGGACGGACACTGACGCAGCTCCTGCTGCTGGGGTCCCGCGGTCACTCAGCACAGCCCTCTGCCTCCCGGTGGCCAGTGACTATCAAGAGCCTCAAAAAGGAAGGTCCCTTTTGACCCAATAACTACACAGCTGGAAATCTGTCCCCAGGAAACTCTAGGTGGACCAAAGTCCTTGTAGACAGATGTTTACTGGGGATGTTTTTGAACAAGTAAAAATACCAGAGCACAAATCTGAATGTCTGTCAGTGGATTCCAAATGCATTACACTGTGTTCATGTCTTGGAATATTATAGCCATTAAAAGTTACTCTTTTAAGACTGACATGAAGAAATGTCCATAAAATATTAGTAAGTGGAGAAATAGCACCAAAGCATACGTACAGCATCAACCGCAACTGCATTTTTTCTTCACTTTTTCTTTTTTCTTTCTTATTTTTTTTTGAGATGGAGTCTCACTGGGTCACCCAGGCTGGAGTGCAGTGGCACGATCTTGGCTCACTGCAACCTCTGCCTCCCGGGTTTAAGTGACTCTCCTGCCTCAGCCTCTCGAGTAGCTGGGATTACAGGAGCCAGCCACCTCATCTGGCTAATTTTTGTATTTTTAATAGGGATGGGGTTTTGCCACGTTGGCCATGCCGGTCTCAAACTCCAGACCTCCGGTAATCCGCCCGTGCTGGCCTTCCGAAGTGCTGTGGGATTACAGGCGTGAGCCACCACGCCCAGCTTCAACTGCGTTTTTTTAAAGGATAGAAAAAGAAGCTGGGTGCGGTGGCTCACACCTGTAATCCCAGCACTTTGGGAGGCCGAGGCAGCCAGATCACCCGAGGTCAGGAGTTCAAGACCAGCCTGGCCAACGTGGTGAAACCGCATCTCTACTAAAAATATAAAATTAGCCAGGTGTGGTGGTGTGTGCCTGTAATCCCAGTTACCTGGGAGGCTGACACAGGAGAATCACTTGAACACGGGAGGCGGAGGTTGCAGGGAGCTGAGATTGTGCCATTGCATTCCAGCCTAGGGAAAAAAAAGCAAAACTCTGTCTCAAAAAAAAAAAAAAAAAAAAAAAAAAAAAAGAAAAAAAATGTAAGAAAATACATGAAAATGCACACACTGGTTTTCTCTGGTCACCACGGAGTTCTGTTATTGTATTTTACTTCCTTCCTTTTACCTTTCTGTGTTTTCTAAATGTGACAGTGCACGTGACTCCCATGGCTGACAGTGCCAACAGAACTTCACGCATACATGTGGCGTCCATGCGTCTGCCGCGTCGGGTCCAGTGCAGGTTGCCCACATGGCATGCCTTGCCACAGTCTTCGTGGCTGATGCTCATTTCATCTGAACTGCAGAGGCACTAGGATATGATAGTTCACACAGCAGAGAATGGACCTTGCACCAGGGCAGCCCAAGGCAGGGAGGACAAAGCTGGCTGGGAGGTGTCTGACCACAGGCTGCCCCGCGGGGGTCCCCACCACTGTTTGCCTCAATTAATAAAACCCAGGAGGCTTCCATGGGGGCACTCCCAGCCTTCCTTAGAAAGCAGCCATGTGAGGTGCAAACATGGAGACCCAGGGGCCTCGACTCCAGCCCCTCATGATGACAAGGGGCGAGGGCTTTTCTAGGCTCCTCAGGGGACTTTGAAGAACTTCAAGGACAGTCCTAATTGCACATTCTCCCCGGAACCCAGAGCACAGACAACTGGACTCCATGGTTTCCTCGCCCAGACCAGTAGCCGCTGCCTCACAGGTACTGAATGTCCGATGAGCATGAGAGCAGGACTCTGCATCTGGCCCTTCCACTGAAGATATCTCACCTGTCCTCCAAGACCAAGCCCCAGACAGATGGCACCTCCCTGGGAGCCTGGTCTTTACCTTGTGGATACAACAATTTAGGTTAATAAGCTCTAAGCTTTGATGAGAAAGACCAGATTAATCCCACTGCTCAAAGTGGCTTGAAATAACGCCAACATAGCCAACACGAACAATGATGATAGCTGTGGTGTGCACTCAGGTTCCAGGCTCCAGGTCAAATGCTGTTCCATGCAGTCTCCCCCTGAATCCTCCCTCTCACCACTTCAGCAGGGAGCACCGTCATTCCTACTTTCCTACCATGCGAGGCCAAGACACTCATGAAGCCCACGCAGCCCGTTCAGTGGAAGCAGGATTCAGATGCCAGGAGTGTGACCCCAAGGCCGGAGCACCTGGAAGTGCCACCCCTCCCTTCTGTGGTCTCTGTGTGTAAAGTCAAATCCCATTTGCCGGACCTCAGGAAGGTCCCGGACTGGGCAGAAATTGATCTTCCCATGGAAGAGGTGGGGAACCAGGGGAAAAGGGGGTCTGAGTGATGTTTCCTGCACCCACCCGGGATGTGCTCTGTAAATCGCAGACTGGGGAGAAACAGGTCTGAGGTCCCAGGCTGGTCCCAGGACCAGCAGCTCAGCACCCTGGGGAGCTCATTAGGAATGCAGGTTCCTAGGTCTCATCTAAGACTTAACAACTCTGGGGTGGGGCTGCCAACCACACCTGAGATGTGCTGCAGGTAGAGAACAGGGGGTCTCCCAGCCCAAAGGCAACCAGGGGTCCACCTCTGGAGAAGGGTGGTGGAGCATTATTTTTGTTCCTGAGCAGGTCTGCATGAGGGAGGAGAGCCTGGACGGATCGCTCCCAGATGAGGGCGAGGGGAGCTCTGGCATAGCTGCTAGGAAGGGCCTTCTGGCCGTCTGCAGCTCCCCACATCTCCCAGTGGGAGACCGAGGCGGAGACTGGCTGGTCTCTCCCACCTGGTGCTGCTTCAGAACCGGTAGCGGCTCACCAGGGCCCTCTGAATCTCTACCTCTGAGTTTTAAAGGGTTTTCATGTAGCTGTTTAAAAAAAAAATCCTTCATTTTCATTTGCTTAGGATGAGCTTGCAATGACGTTAATTTCCCTAGTGTTGTTTAAATAAATTGCACATATTTGCTACTATTTTAAAGCTGTGAGACAAATGTAATAACAAAATCTGGTGAAAATCAATGCCAGACCTGCACGGGCTTCTGCCTGGAAGATGCACCCGCTTCCCTGGAAGAAAATGTCAGCCACAATCAGCACTCACCCGGTCGAACAAGCATGTTCTTTTGAACACGCAGTCATCTTGGGCCCATTCAGAAGACATCACATAAACACTGATGCATAATTATACTCATTAAAAATAATGCTTCCAGTCATGCTTAAAAATATTTTCTAACAGATGACACCTGCTGATTTTCCCTGGTGCGTGTCTTTCTTCTGTATTTCTGAGTGAATGAAGACTGAGCATTGGGTAATGACTTAAAGGTGACCTTGGCCCGGCGTGGCGGCTCACGCCTGTAATCCCAGCACTTTGGGAGGCCGAGGCGGGCAGATAATGAGGTCAGGAGATCGAGACCATCCTGGCTAACACGGTGAAACTCCATCTCTACTAAAAATACAAAAAAAAAATTAGCCGGGTGTGGTGGTGGGCACCTGTAGTCCCAGCTACTCGGGAGGCTGAGGCAGGAGAATGGCGTGAACCCGGGAGGCGGAGCTTGCAGTGAGCCGAGATTGCACCACTGCACTCCAGCCTGGGGGGACAGAGCCAGACTCTGTCTCAAAAAAAAAAAAAAAAAAAAAAAAAAAGAAAGTGACCTCTACTCCACCATTACCGGAAACTAGATAATACACATGTGCACATGTGTATACAGGTGCTATGCACACATGTATGCATGCATGTACGACATGCACGTACAGATATATATGAATGCACACGTCAAGTATGCACAGATGTATAGGTGTATGACTACATGTACACACATGCACAAATGCATGTGTATGAATACGTGTTTATGCCTTCTACACATACACAGGTATGCATATGCTTATGTATGTTTGTGTATCTGTGTGTGTGTATAGAGCACATCACAACTTTCTCAAAACCAACAGCCCAGCAGCAAGATATCTTGGCCATGCCCACTCCCTGCATGCTGACAGTTTAGCTCAAGCTAGAAGTCCTGTAACTAGGAGGGTC